ATTCTCGCGGTGGAGTGAAGTCAAGGAGGGGTTAGGGAGATAGCACCAATGCGCGTTATTCCTTAGCCAATCAAACACCTCGTCGTCCTCATTCTTTGCTAAGAACTGGATTTGCTTCAATTGCCGGATGTTCAGGTAGAGAGAATCAACATCCCCCACCGGAGTGCAAGACGACAAATAGTGCCCGAGCTCAAGGTTGGTCACTAGCCTCGTGACCATGCTCCCACAACGGATCTCGCCGGAATCCCTATCTTGCAATCCTTGGCAATACTTGACAAAAGTATACCCAAAATTTAGGAGACCTCGGTACTTCGCACGAGTAGCCACCCAAAGAATCCGAAGCTCCAACTGACTCATCTTTCCCAACTCTTGATTCGGAAACACTAAATACCCCAAAAGCCGATGGAGAACTCGGGACATGGCTGGTGCACCTTACTAATCTTGGCATACAGGGTCACAAAATCACCACACCCAGAAATGTCGTACCACCGTGAATTTTGATCATATTCATCATTGAAAAAGAGCTCGGGATCCAAAATATCCGAGTTTGGATCGAAGTCTAGAGCCGCATTGAACTCTTTAAGAGATTGATCATATTGAATGTTGAAAAGCTGAAACCGAATATCGTAGTGCCCCCCTTGGCCACCACAAGATCAACCGTGGCCAAAAACTCCAAAGTCGGTTAAACATAGGTACAGAAGCTCCGGCTTACAAATGATCCCAAAGGAGGTTGTTGAGCAATTCCCTTAAATCTTAATCAATTCCCAACTTAATCATGTCCGGTTGAAAGTAGTGACGGGAAGGTTTAAGGGAACATTTTTCTTTGATTTTGGCGTATCTAGCTTTTTGAATGGGGTCGGTAATTCGTAGTTTGGGGATAGGGATAGGTTGACGAGGTTGTGTGGTAGAGGGGGAAGGAGTGGGTTCTTCGATGGTTACATTGGTTTTTCGTTTCTTGAGGAGGTTTTTTATGTGTTTAGACATGATGAATTCTCGAAGATAGTAACTCAACAATCCAATCACAATATACCACAATCACCACAAGAAACTCCAACCAACAATTTAGAATGCCTCAAACAAACTCCTTTACCAATACCATAAAGCAACAACTCACTACCAAAATCGAGCAATCCCAAATTTACATAATCACCAGCAATTCAAGTCAACAAATGCATTCTAACCATAAACCAATCACAAAGGAACTAAGAACCAATGCTCAAAAATATCAATGTAGCACTACAAAAAATCCGACCTCAACAATTCTCAACAATTACGATCAATTTAGCTATACAAACATCAAACAACACAATGTGAGGCAATTACAATCAACAACAACACATAATCAACCAAAATTCAACATCAATCATCAAAATTACCAAAATTCATACTACTAATATTCATAACTATCAACAATCCCATACTTGCAATTATATTATATAATTATGCATTTAAGAGTAAAAGAGGATTTTTATACTATACAAGATGCAAGATTGAACAAGCTTTGGCCACCAATTTCCTCACAAACGAAAAAGCCCAAATTTCTTCAACAATGGATGAGAGATATTGAAGCTTGCAATAGATGAAAATAGTTTAGTTTTTTGTTGAAAAGGATGAAAATGTGGAAAGAATTGATGATTTTTTATTGAAATTTTGTTGATTTTTGATGAAATTTGATGAATGGGGTTAGGGTTTGAGCGGTTTCAAGAGCAATATGAGAGGAGTGTGCATTTGAATGATATAGGGAAGAAGGAGAAATGAGGAAAAGAAGGAAAAAATAAGGCTCAGCCTGCAGGGGTGCGCGCCTACGCGGTCAGGCTGCGCGCACGCCCGCGCACTCCCTTGGAGCGCCCGCGCCACTAGCTAACTCGGCCTTTAGCTTCTTTGGTGCGTTCAACTGTGGGCTTATCGTTCAATATCATCCCGAGATTTTTGAACCCATCGTAATGATCAGTTTCTAAACATGAAGAATGTGGGTTAAACACCCCTAAAATAATGGTAGCACCACAATGAACTCACCAAGTTCAAATTTTCTTCAAACTTAAGCACAATTTCCATATCTTACCTAACTAATATTTCTTACCCTTGTTGCCTCAAAAATTCGATAAAATCGAACATACATCACAACGAAAACCGCAAAATCTCCTATCCAATGCTCGTGCTCATTTGAATTAATCCATCTCCATGAATTACCCTATATATAATTCCAAAAGAAAATAAGTGAAAGAAAAGAAAATAAAAGAAAGAAAATTAAGAAAATAGAAAACAAAAGGAAAGATTAGAAATCTCCGGGTTGCCTCCCGGGAAGCGCTTGCTTAAGGTCCTAAGCTCGACCCTTCCTCCAAATCATGGAGGGTCAAAGGACACCACCTTACTCAAAGTGGCGGAAGGTAAAAACTTCTCTTCAACTTGTAGCAACTCATCGTTGTTGCTTGATAAAACCTTGTTTGCTTGAACTTCAAAAATAACTTTTTCACTCTTCAACTTCAATCTCATCCGCTTCTTCCTATAAGCCCTTGCCTTTTTCTTAGCCTCGTTCCTTCTTGTAGACGGGTTAACACCATCTACTTCCTTGGAACCATCCTCCTCCTCTTGAGGGCAAAGCTCAAACCAATGTGGAATGTCTATTATCTCTTCGTCCTGATTGGTCTTTAAAAGCTTTTCTTCTTCACTAACTTTCATTCTATCAAACTTAATAAGAACATCATCGAAAATCTCATGAACATGGTTCGTTTAAGAGTTAATCACACACACACATTATCCAATGAACGATGGGAATTATCATTCATGACTCCTTTCACAAAAGACAAGGATTCATGCATTGGTTTTAGCTTAAAACTCTCTTTTTCATTACCAACTCTCAAAGTGATACGGCCGCCCTTATCATCTATTAGAGCAACCGAAGTATCTAAGAATGGTCTCCCAAGAATAATAGGAATGTGGTCATCCTCCTCAATTTCTAGCACAATAAAATCTACGGGAATTGTGAAACCACCTATCCTAAGGGGAACATCTTCAACTCTTCCTTTTGGAAACTTAATAGATCTATCGGCCAATTACAAGGTTATATTCGTAGGAAGAAGTTCTCCTAGCTTAAGCTTCTTGAACATCGAGTAAGGCATAATGCTAACACTAGCACCTAAGTCACAAAGCATTTTCAAACAACTTACTCTTAAACTTGCAAGGAATAGAGAAATTGCCCGGATCTTTCATCTTCTTTGGTAGGTCATTGTAAATCAAAACACTACAACGCTCACCAAGCTCTACCGAATCTACCTCATTGCACTTTCTCTTGCCACTTAAAATATCCTTAATGAATGTGGAATATCTAGGCATTTGGGTCATAGCTTCGGTGAGAGGGATAGAAAGATGGACCTCCTTCAACATGCCAAGAAATCTTCCAAATTATTCATCTAATTTGTTCCTCATAAACTTTTGGGGCTATGGAAGGTCGGGTTTTCTCACTTCCTCTTGCACTCTCTCAACACTCCTCTTTTTCTCAAGGACTTCCTCCTTGATCACACTCTTTGACACATCTTTCTCTTTTTCCTCACTTGAGTCACAATCACTCTTCCTCTCATCCTCCTCACTATTCCTAGAAACTGTCTCTTCAAGCACTTTTCCACTCCTTGTGGTGATAAAATAATCGGGTTTCTTAGGATCAATTCATTGAGAGGGTAGTGAAGAAGGGCTAGCACAATCTTTCAAAGTGTTGGCTAGTTGAGTGATTTGGGTTTCAAGCATCTTGTTGTGTGTCATCATCTCATTGAATTATTTATCGCTCACTGATATGTAGGTGTTCAAAATCTTGGTTTGGTTCTCAATGATCTCCTCTAAGTTAGTCTTGGAAGATGGGGGTTGGGCATAAGAATTATCACCATTTTCTTGAGGTCTTGGAGCAAATCCGGGTGGGGTCCCCTTTGATTGTTATTTTGAAAATTTCCCCTATTTTGATTTTTCCAATTACCACAACATTATTTATTCAATTAAAGTTATTTAAACAATAAAGGAAAAGTGATTTATCTAAGTGCTCAGGAAACTAACCGTTCTTCTCTTATGTTAAATCTTCGTTTAATGTGTTTATGGACTTTCTTTCTTCTTTGTAACTCTAAGGAATTCAATGGATTCAATTAGGGTTGGAAAGTATTTGGGAAGAGAGAAGAAAAAGTAGTATGATAGTAAGAGAAGTTGAGAGATTAGGGTTTTGAGAATACTAGGGTTTTGAGAATAATTTTTTCTGTCCCCATAATGATGAACGAAGACCCCTATTTATAGGCGTAGGGATCTAGGTTTAGGGTTTTAGAGCCGCGCCGTTAGGTGGCATGCGCAACTCTCTGAGTCGCGCTGGGTGCCGCGTGCATCTCAATGGCGCGCGCAACTGATTGAGTTGCGCTAGTTTGCGGTTTGCCTTGTACGAAAACGCGTTTTTAAAATTTCTATAACTTTTGATTGCGAAGTCGGATTAAGGCGTGTGAGATATCATTGGAAAGCTCTGAATGTATACTTTCCAATTCCGTTAGAATTAGGTTAAAATATATTATGGATCAAAAGTTATAGCCGTTAGAGTGCAGGGGTATCGATTTTAGGGCCCGGTTTAGTGTTATGATCATAACTTCTTAGTTTTGGCTCGGAATTGGGCTTATAATATACCGTTAGAGAGCTCTTTGACAGGGCTATCCATCTTTATAGACCTTGCATGGGAAATTGATGTTTGGTTCATCTGTTTGGCTCGGTTTTTCAACAATGTAGGTTCCATTGGATCCAATCATTGCATTTGTCACATTTGGTCCGTTATTAATCAATTTTAAACATGTATGAACATGTATGAGGCCTAATTAGTAATTGGACAAGGCTCTAAGATAAATTGGTCATAAATATGGGTTTCAACTTACTTCATAATGCATTTTGTAGTCCATAAACACTTCAACTTTCATCTAACATGAAGAATGGATAGTTTTTTGTAACATCATCGTAGTTCCTTTCGGGACAAGAAAGGCCAAAAGTAGGCGTCTACAAAAGCCAAAATATTTGTAACCAACTTAAAAAATATCTGACATGCCTAGCTGTAGCTGTAGTCTGAGTAGCTTAATATATTCCTAACATTATTTTGAGGTGCAAGGTGCAACCTTAATTTCCAAATTAAGTGTAACCTTTAGCGTAAAATCACACAACTAGAAGGTCTAGAAATCCTTATACATACACATGAATGGAATTCATGATCCTCAAACCCTATCTTATGAAACTTGCAGATTAGACTTCAGAGTTCAAACGACTTATAACTTGAGGGAAATTTGTTGAGTTTCAGTGCATGTCATGACATGGTTACGAGTAATTTCCTTTATTGTACGACACCCACTTAGCGCCATGGTGAGATCAAACTCATCACGAAGCATTTGAAGCACTTTTCGCACACCAGCTTCTCCATCAACTGCTAATGAAAAAACTATAGGCCTTCCAATCTGGAAACAAGAGAGTCTTTAAACTTTTGAATATGGATAATAACTACTAGTAGGCTTTTATGTGGTAAAAATACAGGTGCAGTTACTAGTTTCACAAGCTAGTTTCATTAACAGGAATATATCTTTGAAAATTAGTATGTCTGCAACACATTTAACTATAGATCCAAATTACTGGAAACTTGATAACTAAGAATATAGCAAACATAGTTACTTACAAATACTCCAGAAGCTCCAAGTGCTAATGCTTTGAAAACATCTGTGCCACGACGAATACCACCATCCAAGAAAACAGGAATTCTACACTCCACAGCTTTCACAATCTGCCATATGCAACAATGGGGAACATATGTAGGTATGCTAGAACTAGTATATCAAGCACTCTGAAGTATATTTATAATACAAATATGATTCTTTCCTTATTCAGAGCTTCAAATATTTTCTGTCACATTAATAGACATAATGGACACACCGTACTAATGGCCTTGTTTTGTAATTAGCGAGTAGATGGTTGTATTGCTTGGTTAGACAGTTGCATTAGACGTTTTGACATGTTGCTTGGTTAGTTGTATTAGTTATGTATACTCATTTGGCTAAAGTTTCACAGTCAATATACATACAACATTCAATTTGCAAATTTATTTAAATTAGAGAGTTGAGCACCACCAGCTCATTTTTTGTTCATCTTTGTCTCTATGCTTGTAGGAACGATAAGAGATAACATTAATTTAATTGGAGAGCTTTGAGGTGGAAATACATGCCTGCTCTCGATTGTAGAAAATCTTCCGTGCATACACTCTCCACAATACAGTAAATAGATGAATGCAGAGAAAGTATGTCATTAAGTGCTTATGGGTTTTTTGCCCCTAGTGCTTATTGGTTAGTTGTTGGTTATTGATAATGGTATCTTGTCCAATAACCAGAATATCCTTATCAAGAACTTATTACATAACTCAAAAGGAGCTTTACCAAATTGGAAGCAAAGGGGAAAAAAATCCAGATCTACAAATATAAAGATGTATCAAGTGTATGGAGGTTAAATTTGAATACCAACCTCTTCCAAAGCCATGATGGTTGCAGGAACAAAATCAAGTTGTCGAGCTCCGTGGTTGGAGACGATAATTCCTGCTGCGCCTGCTTGCACTGCCAGTCTTGCTGCAGACAAGAATAAAACTTTCTGACATAAAGGTCACACAAACACAATATAATAGAAATCATGTTTCTCTTATGAAGTACACATTTTACAAATACACTACTTACCATCCTCAGCAGTTAGCACTCCTTTCAGCAAAATTGGCAACTTGGTGATGGTCTGAAGCCACTTTACATCCTGTAAAAGGTATATATTCACGGGAAAGATTCACAAAAAAAAACAATTGCACTGCAAAGAGTCAAACAAAAGGCTAAATTACTTTGTTTTTTTACCTTCCAATTCAATGACCGATCAACTTGAATGGGACTGTCAGTCTGCAAGTTGGAAGTTCAATCCAGGAAAAGAATGGGACTGTTAATTTCAATCTCTTGAAAGGTTACCAGTAGTCAGCTTTGATGTCTTACTTTCACTCACCTGATTAAGCATACCAAGATCCAGCCCCTCAAAGTTCTTTAATGTCAAGTGTTGTGGGAGAGCAAATCTGCAAGGAATGTTAAAAACTGTTAGATCATATTCACATGTTTATGCATACTTTTCACAGAAGTGAACTTAAACACAATATAACATCAACAACTTTCGCCTTTCACTGAAGAACGTATAGCAAAAGACAGTTGAAATTATATAATTACCTGTTCTTAATATCTGCCTCCCTTCTACCTACCCTGGGTGTATCAACTGTGAGAACAATAGCTTTAAAACCAGCCTTCTCAGCTCGTTCAACAAGCTGTACCACGATACTTCGGTCTTTCATTACCTTGATTATATGGATACATACAATCATCATCAGCCTGACTGCAGTTTAGCAGAAGCTTAAAGAAGACAAATTAGACATACAGACTAAGAAAATTAGGACTTCAAACTATTTACATTTTCGCACTAAATATATTCTTCGCCATGAACCAAAAATTGGAGAGGAGATACAAGTTTGTATCTATGTTGTGCTGCGATTTGTACAAAACATAATACAAGACATTACATCAGGGCTAGCAGTTGAAAAAGAGAACAATTTTGATGACATACTGACATTCATCCAGATTGTCACAATGTACATGAGAAAATGAATATTAAGATTATGAATCTTTGGCATAATCTTACAATTTAAGTGGACTTAAACCCGGAAATTCAGAAAACAGATTCTTTGATACTGAATAAGCATATATTAATTTACAATTTGTTTTGCACTTACTATACTCACATAAAGCTGGAAAAATCGAATTCCTGGTCCAGTTGAGGCAACTTCTTCAATGCTAGATGTGGCTAATGTTGACAATGCCTGGGCCAAATAATCACACGTGCAAATCAAAGAATGAGTTTGACAGTCAGAAAAAAGAGGAAAAATATTAAGGGAAAGAAATGCGAGTCCAAACCATAATTGTGCCAGCAGCAGATGCTGCCCTCGCTGTTGCCAATTCTCCTGCAAGAAAACGATCACTTCAAAATAAGGAGGATTTTCAAAACCAGTTTCTTAAATTAGAATATAAAGTGTGTATTCATGATAATTAGCTCAACATTTCACTCATATATCATAAATGGCTCATGAGACTAAAATATTCATGACCATTAGCTCAAGAATTAACTCATTTATCATATATGCTCATGAGACAAGAGTATTCATGATCATTAGCTCAAGAATTAACTCCTAGGTCCAAACACAGTCAGAATACCATTAATTACAGTATCATCTTCAGAACTATTTTTATATATGATAGAGCATCAAGTTACATCATTTGATTCAAAGCATTGATCCAGTACTGCTTAAGTAAAAAGAAATATCAGGCTAATTAGGCTTTTCTAAATTCAGATCATAAATCCATATGTCACCATAACCTACAAGCTACATGACTGCAGGTGTCTGCCGGCTTGCGTTAATTTTGACCAACTATCCTGAAAACAAGAATAGAAATAACATCAAGGACTTGAATTTTTACCTTCGGGGTGAGCCATTTTTTGCATAGCTGAAGGAGCTATCATGATTGGCATGGGAATCTTGAAACCCAAGACAGTTATTGTAATGTCTATATGACTTACATCTATGAGGATGCGAGGCCGGAACCTGAATTTCGTTGGGAGTAATCAATAATTAAATTGCAATAGTCAGCCATAGATATAGAAATAGGTATAAAACTATAAGATGAATGAGAAAATATATTTCTGATCTCACTTTTATCTTCTATATGGTTGTTTGATAATAATGATTTGCTAATGTTACTAAAATATCCTGGCACATTCAAGTGACCATAAAGGTTATGACACTACATGATAGAGAAACACATACAAAATCCTCGAAAATGCATTTATGTTCTCTTCTAGAGTCCATTCATCTTCAGCACCTGATGCATAATAATCATATATCATCTTCGGCAGTCTCTCTTTTGCCAGCTTATCATATTCAGAAACATTTGTTATCTCCATCAAGCTGTTAACGATTCTGCTGTATGATTTCCCTGAAAACGTCAAAGCACTGAAGCATTTTCAAAATTAAGAGCAATACCAATTGAAAATTTAGTAGCAGCAGCGTTTTCAAATTTATTATTGGCTATCAAAGAGTTGCTCCATCCAAGATGTGACTCGCCTAAACTATACAGTACCAACCTTTAGTGTAAGGGGTAAAGGTAGATTTTCTGTTCTGAAAAGCAGTTTCGTCCTATAACTTTCTACAACGGATAGACTACAGATCAGACCAAAGAAATATTTATAATCCTTTCCAGAGTAGTATGTGAGTGAGCAGAAGTACTAAGTCGCGGAAGGTGCTTATAGCAGCTTATGCAGCAGTTGTGTAGTGACTAGTGATCATAGTAGATAGTAATTGGTTTGCTAATTTGTAACGAGTTTCTTCCGCCACTATTAAGTTTTTTGAGATATTTCAAATGTGTGTCCCTTCACATCAGACTATAGAATGCAAACTGTTCTTCAGAATTTTGCAATAAGCCACTTTGCTTACCAACTTACCAAGAAATACTTAACAAGATGAAATGATTATCGATACACACGGAGAGATCACTCACAAACAACAATAATTCCAACAGTGCTAAACATCTAAAGGAACTAATTTAACTTCATTAGGTGACAGTGATATACTCGTATATGGTTAACTTCTTCATTAAACTTCCTAGTCTCATGGAAAATCATAATAGTTTAAACTCCCTCCGGTTTTTTAGTGCTTCAGATATGTGATTTTCAAAACATTTAACAAGGAATAAAACCACTAAGGGCATGTTCGACAAAATATAGCTGTGAGGGTTGCTGTAGCTGTGGAGATAGCTGTGAGCTGTGGAGATAGCTGTTAGCTGTCAACAAGTTGTTAGCTGTGAAAACAAAATAATTTAGGTATGATTGTTCAGTAAAGTAGTGGTTGACTAGCTGTTACATTTAAGAATCAATATTTTATTTTTAAAACTATACATTAAATTTTCAAAAGCTACTTCAAAAGCTAATAATCCTAGCTTTTAATAAAAGCTACCTCCACCACTAAAAGCTACTTGAACTATTACTTTGCCAAACACTCACATTTTTTTGTTGAGTAGTGGTTTGACCAAGCTACCTAAAAGCTACTCAAAAGCTAGCGCCGAACACGCCCTAAGTTTAGGGTTCCTTTACGTGTGGTTTTTTGGTTTTTTATTTTCAAAATCATATGATATATGTTAAATAATGAATAAAAAATAATTAAAGGCCTTTTTCTTATTTTTGGCAAATGAAATCTGAAAACAAAAAACGATGTCAAACAAATCCTTAATTTATGTAACTTAATCTCTAATCCCAAAATTTGTATTATATCTAAAGTTTGATTGATCATCAAGAAAAAATATAAATTGAGCCGGATAATGAAATTATTACTTAGCTAAAGCTAATTATCATGCATGATGCATTAATTAAGAAACGATAAAAAAATAAAAAATAAAAAATAAAAAAAATTAACAAACAATAAAAAACAAAATACAGAGTAGTTGAAAGAAAGAAACATTATAAGAGGGGTTGGTGTGACTAACCTGAAGTAGTGTCCAAGAGAAAATGAGAGTGCTTGAAGCTAAACTGCAGAAAAATGAGTTGGGGGTTTCTTCTGTTTTATATTCAAAGAAGCTGCCATTACAGTGGTACGACGAATCAGATGATGGCGGCTAAATTTTTTTAGTGAAGTTACCAAATCGCGTTTCACTGCATAAGGCCATATTCAGTTAATCTTATTTTTCTTACTGAATTAATGAATTTTATTTTTATTGAATATTTCCCATGTATTTAATTACTTGTGTCATTTCTCCATTTTTCCCATGCGCGAAATTTTGGGAGCAAGAGTAGAAAGTATTCATAAAATATGAAAAAATAAATAAATAAAAAGGGTTGGTGAAAAAATACAGTAGTACAATGAGGAGAAAGCAGAATATTAAAAATACGGCTGGAAAAATCTGCTTTTAAAAACAAATAGTTGGTCCTAGAAAGAAAATATTAAATATTGTAAAAGATTTTCAAAAAAAAAAAATAGAAAAAGTAATAAAATACGGCTGTAAAATAAAAGTTGAGCAATTAAGACATTACATCGGTCATCAGGGCTGGCAGTTAAAAAAGAGATGATTTTTGAGGACTTACGGACAGACGTCCTTTTTGCTTTTTTACTTACATAAAAAGCAAGAAAAATGGAATTCCAAGTCAAGCTGAGGCAACTCCTTCAACACTAAATGTGGCCAATGTATACAATGTTTGGATCAAATCATCAAACATGCGGATAAAAGAATGAATTTGACATTCAAGGCCGTTCAGAAAAAGATGAAGGGAAAACAACTAAAAGAAATGTGAGTCCGAACCATAACTCTGCCAGCAGCGGATGCTGCCCGACCTGTTGCAAACCCTCCTGCAAGAAAATAATCACTTCACCACAGAAGGAACTGATATCAAATATGGTTTATGAGACTGAGATTCATGACCATTTGCTCAATAATAAACTCTTAGGTCCAGACATTGTCAGAATGCTATTAATTAAGATATCAGCTTTAAGATCACCATATATGATAGAGCATCTAGTTGCAGCATTTTGTTCAATACATTGATCTAGTACAGCTTATATAAAAAAAACAGAAGGAATATCAGGTAGATTAAGTTTTAACGAATTTAGATCATAAGTCCATAACTAATCCCTAAAGGCTACAGGACTGCAGGTGTTAGTCGGCTTTGTATTAGTGTTGACAGCTATTTTGAAAACAAGAATTTCAGAAACAATTCCAAATCGTAGATTGAGGATACATTCGTAATGACTTGCATTAATATTTGCATACGAGCATTACCAAACAGAAATACAAGTTAACGACCAAAGTAGGATCCTTAATTTGAGCATAACTGGCAACAAAGAATTACTCCATGTCTTCATCCAAGATGTGACTTGCTGATAATACATAGTACTAACCTTTGGTAAAGGGGACTGGGCTCTGGATAGATTTTCTGTTCTTAAAAGCAGATTTTTCCTATGACTTGCTCTAACAGAAAGACAACAGATCATACAAAGGAAACATTTATCAAGATCAGGGAGTCTGTGCCACTGAGCTCAGTTTAGTGTGTGCCTATGCAACTGAAATCCTTCCGTATCTACTTTTCAATTGCTACTTTAACTCTTAATGCTTGCAAACAATTAAGTGGTGTCTCTATTATAAAATTAATCCTTTTTCAGAGTAGTATGTGTGTGAGCAGAAGTTCCCCCATGGCACACAGTTTAGGCGAAAGGTGATTATAGCAGCTTCATTATGCAGCAAAGATTATCTAGTTTGTAAAGAGTTTCTAACTTTGCTTTGCCTAAAAGCCACCTAAGTTGCTTACGCTTATGTTTGTGAGGGGTCATTCTAAGGTGTATACCCTTGCATTAGACTGTAGAATGTAATGCTCTGAAGAATTTTGCAGTAAACCACTTTGCATACCAAGAAATAATTTACTAGATGAAGTTTTCATCGATACACACTGAGAGATCACTCTAAAACAAAAGTGCTCAACATTGAAAGGAACAAAACCTCACCCAATAGACAGATATTTTTTCTTTAGAAAGAAATATCTTCTCAGTTTATTCGGTTGATGACAGTATTCAATCAATGAAACAATAGATAAGTAAATCAAAATGATAGTAGGTAGCTGGTAAGCCTCTCTATAGATGTATATGAAGAACCGCCTTCCTTGACACAAAGAGTTGCCTTCTCCTTCAAAGCTGTGATTCTGCTCCTCATTTCTTCCCCTTCTTCCAGCATAAGTTTTCTTATCGACCTTGCTATTTCTTCTCTTTTGATCCCCTTTTCCAATTTCATCCCTATCTTCCAACCATCACTCACATGCCTCGCGTTCATATCCTGGTCAGCAAAGATAGGCTGGCAAAGCATAGGCACTCCTTCACAAATACTCTCCAAAGTTGAGTTCCATCCGTTGTGAGTCCAAAATCCTCCAACAGCTGGGTGGGATAAAACCTCTAATTGAGGTGCCCATTTTACAAAATGCCCTCTTTCACCTAACATATCAAGGTAGCCTTCTGGCAATGAGTTGTTGACTTCTGAACCTTGGATCAATCCATGGCGTACCACCCATAGGATTGGCACCATGCTTTCAAGCAGTCCCCAGGCTAGCTCGAGAAATTCAGCTTTACTCATTGTTGCAACACTCCCAAAACTAACATACAGTACAGACTTGGGTGTTTGTTTATTCAACCAAGTGATGGAAGTTTGGTCTTGTGCCCATATGCTGGTATCAGAAGTCGGAGATTGTTTGTGTAAGGGGCCTATAGGAAAGATGGGAATAGGAAGGGATCGTTTAACTTGAGCCGTTGCATAACTTTCCAGTTCCTCAAAGGTATTGCATATGACACCATGAGAGGTCTCGGTTTCTCGGACAAATGTCTCCAGTAAATGATGTGGCCATTCTAAAGGAAGGTCCCTGACTTTTAAAGGGGAAAGCTCTGGCAGTATTTCATCTAAATTATTATCTGAAATGTGTACACAAAGAGAGAGAAGTCATGCATTTGAAAGTAATATAACAACCTGAAGTTTAATGAGTCATAAAGCAGATAATGTACAGTCTTGAAGGTTGTCCTTCTGAACACTATTTTTGGCACATTTATTATTTATTTGACATTAATTGCAGAAGTCCTTTAATCATATGAGTTTGTGTGAATTGTATGATTGTATGTACGGATGTACCCTGCAATTACATAGACATAGAAATTGTACACGGAACCTGCAACTCGTTTGCTTACTATGCTGCTGTTGAGAGTGCTGACCTAGGAGGTTATAATTCTAAGAATTGAATCAAATCTGCAGCTAGTAATGATTATGTTTATTTCTTTATTTAATCTAGTTTGTTGGTTTCCATTTTATATTTAAGAAAGAAATTAGTACCTATGAATTAAATAAAATCTGGAGCTAGTACTGATTCTGAATATTTTCTGTTTATTCTAGTTCATCGATTTCCTTTTTTTTTTTTTTTTTTTTTTTTTTTTTTTTTTTTTTTTAGAGAAAGCCAATAACTCCCTTCAGGAGACCAATTCAGCAGTCTCTATCAATACATAAGCTAATAAAATAATGCCGTGTCTACCTGCACTCGGGTAAAACTATCTAAACACATAATTGCCATACATTGGCACTTGTAGAGTTGTAGGGGATGAAAAGCTGATGTATGTGCCAATGTTTAGTTACATCCAGCGATTCAGGTATGCATTGATATGAACATATTATCAATTCTCAGATCAAATAATCTGTATTGATTCAGAACATTTGGCAAAAAACTCTTGAAACTATATCAAGATTAGAAGTTACCTCGAGCAGGGAGATAGCCTTTTTCTCGTAAAGAAGGCAGAGAAAGATAAACCAGCAAAGCCGATATGCTACCAGTCCTGAGCACCAGCCTAGGAAGGTTAATGCTAGCAGTAAGAGACCCAACAAATTTCCACATAGGATCTGCTATCAAGGCAGCAATATGCTCCTTACACCCATCAGTATCAGTATCAGCAGCAGCAGTCTCGCGTAAAATTTGAGACAAGCAATCCCGGAAAGCCTCGCAGCATGTGTCCATGCTAGATATGACGGTAACAGTATCCGGCGGAGGAGACTTGGAATAGGACTCGAGTAAGCTGTTGTGAAAGGAGCAGAAAGTGAAGTGTGGGAAGTCGGTAAGATTTATAGGATTGTAAGGAGTCTGAATGATGGTAATGGAGAAACCTTTGGAGTATAGCAGAGTTGCTAGTTGTAGCATTGGATTTAAATGACCGTGAAATGGTGCAGGAAATAGCAGTAGTCGACGGCCGAGCTTGCTCGTCTGTTTCATTGTCCCTTCCATTGGAGCTTATGGTTGTTTTCTATGGATTTAAGCTTGTGTTTTCTATTGATTAAAATGAGTTGGGTTTCTGGCCTTTATGCTATAGAGTGAAGACAGGAAATGATTACCTAATGGATGAATATTCTATATACTTTACCCAATTTCATTTATATGAATCTTAAAGTTTTTAATTCTGAAATTTCTCAATCAGATTCCTCTTATATACTGCTTAAATACTGTAGTCTCATGTTATCCTCAATCTGTAGTAACTAGTGGCTACCTTTTTTTTTTTTTTTTTTTTTTTTTTTTTTTTAACAAACTAGTGGCTACTCGCACTTGCTTAGTTGCTACCTTGCTACTTTCAACTATATTCACGTTTTAGACAATAACATAAAATATTTATAAAAAAAAAAACAAAACAAAAACAAACAAAACACAACACCTACTTAGTACTATATTTACATTTTAAGTCATGTGTGAACATGTATTTGGGTAAGACCGTAAGAGAGAGCATAATTAGGGATGACACTGGGTCGGGTTAAATGGGAGACCTGCCCCATCCTCGTCCAATTCAAGTGGGGCGGGGATGGAGAGAGGTTTGGCCGGTGATGAGGCGGAGATGAATATAAAATGTGTGCCCGCCATGGGTGATGGGGCGAGTATGGATTTTAGAGTAGACCCGTCCTAAATTCACCCCGCCTCATACCCACCTTATACCCGCACCATATTTCTTTTATTAGAGTTGAGAATTTATGAAACTTGATACCCCTAAGACCCAATAACCTTGAATAGTGAAAGTTTTAATTTTCTTAACCTAATTTGATATAATCGTCATTAATGTGATACAATAGAGCAACATGGCAAAGAGTTTGGGATGATTTTGGGGCGGGTATAAGGTGGGCATGAATATCCAATTGGGTGATGGGGCGGATATGGATTCTATCTTGTACCCGGTGGGGCGGGTATGGATGTGGATATTGTACCCCCCACGGGTGGTGGGGCGGGGATGGGTATAAGATTTTTAGGCGGATAAGGGTATGCAGGTACCATCATCCGCATCTGACCCGCCCCATTGCCATCCCTAAGCATAATTAGTGGATCTACAAATCTACGACAAATTCTGGTTAAATTACATAAAGAGCATTGTTTAGGTTAGAATCTGGTTGACATATAAGACCAGGTTCAATTGGATAACAACTAGATTAATCAATATACAAATAATGATAAGAACAACTATTAATAATCTAAGGAAGTGAACAAAGGGGAAAGGGAGGAAGAGACACAAGAAAATGACGTACCAGGGTAAAAATTGTGGGTGGCTATGAGTCTACCAATCCACTAGGTTGAATATTTGATACAAGTACACTATAGATTTCGAATAGATTTGTAACGTTGCAAATAATTGCTAATTGTTGTGAAATATAAGGCTTTGATATTTTTTGATGCCTCTTGAGTCTTTACAATGATTATTACTCTATTTGTAATAGAAAATCTTCCAAGGGTGCTTCAACAACCTTCTCCCAAATTCTGCAGAATCCGGGATTAGTTACCCGGCTTAGTTATGAGTCTCTTGCCACGTCCTGCATAAACTTATCCGTTGTAGTTTTGACTTGTTCCATGCTAACAACTAATTGTAGTTTACGGTTCCGATTCTTATGGCACTTCTAGCTCTTGACTCCTTCAACTTGGACCCTCGTAGAATGTTCCTTGAAAGACTTTTAGTTTACTTCTTTTGATTACTTAGAATCGGACGCTGATTTTGTGGCAATTAATAATTTGCAACCTAGCAACCTCCACACATTCAAACCTGCAATAATAATTTAAATTAGGCATAAGAGTTTGCCCCCAGCTTGGCTTTTAGATTTATCAGACGCGTCTATAAGGAAAGCTTATTAACCAAACAAGATAAACTCATAAATAAAACAAAAAAAGATAACTTTAATCTTGGATCCGTTAGAATTTTCGTAGCAAACCCTAGATTTTCTCTTTTGAAATCAAATTGAAAGCTTTGACATTGGAACTTCGGGTGTTGTATGGACTCCTTGGAGTGCTTAGGGAAGGAATAGTGTAATTAGGACAATAGGTTTAAGGCTTAGAATAGTGATAATGTGTGTTGGTGCCCCGAAACTATTAAACCAGCTTCGTAATTATAGAGCAAATACTAAAGGTGAGGTACAGATGCCTAAAAACTAGGCGCTGCAAAGGAGTAAAGCGTCGTAGGTTAAAAAATTGCCTTGGTACGGAAATATATGCCGTGGCAAGGCAACTTCTGCCGATTCACGGTATTTTTTATCGTGGCGTGGTAATTTCCACTTTTATACATTTTTAAAACTTTGATAACTTTTGGTTTGTAAATCGGAATAAGACATATAATATATTGTTGGAAAGATCTTCAAGTCTACTTTCCAACCCAATCAAAATCAGGTCAAAATCTTTTGTATATTGATATGGACGTTTTTGAAGGAGTTTATAGGTACGAATGCGGAAAACATAAATCATATTCATATAGCACCTAATCCCAAGATCATGCATACCACATAAAGAATTAGAATTAATACCTTTGAAGCGTGATTCCACGTGTGATCGAACAAGAACAAGGTAGATAAAGAACCTCAAACGTGATTCCTCTACTTGGTCCACAGGCACAAATTAAGTCCTCCACTAATGCTAGTTAGTTGCAATCGAACACTTCAATTGACCTTCTATGGAGTAGAAGAGCAACGAACAAATCACGAACCACCACAAAGGGAGGGGATAGGCGTTTGGTACAGAGAGAGAAAGAGGTTTTGGATTACTGGTTGCTTGGTGCACAATTAACTGTTAATTGTGTTGTGTCATACAACCCTAGGCATGGACTTTATTTATAGATCTCATCTCTAAATAAGAGTCCATGACAAAGCCCAAATCCTAACTCTAATCTAACTATACTAGCCCAATCCAATTCATGATTGGTTACTTGTTTATGAGGCCCATAAATGGGCCTCTAACTTGCTTAACCCAATACCTTTGTTGTGTGACCTCATAGGATCCATTCTAGTGGGTTTTGGACTATTTGACTAGCCCAAAGATCAATGATCATAGTCTAGCAATAGATAATGACGACCCAAAAGAACGAACTTATTATCTCCATAATATTGATCCTTGATATATCTAGTAATTGCACTTATCTAAGACAGAACTCCTTCAATCTCCCACTTGTCTGAGACAAGTGCTCAATATTCAAATTCCTTAAGTCAATGAGTGTCGATTTGATAATATGATTGCATCTCATGTCGTGATCATATTAATCTACAAATATTTTCTTGAGAAACTGAGTTAGAATTACAAAACAGATGATTACTTTGTAATCCATTTGAGTACGGCCATACATTTTCTGAATTCTCCCTCCTCAAGGGGCCAAGACACATTCCTAATTAAATAGGCAGACTCAATCCAATCTTGTGACAACCAAGGCTCCTACTCAAATCATGAGGTAACCAGGAAACACCCTTTACAATCTCCAGTTACGGGAAGACGTTTGAATGTACACAGTTACATCTATCATTGAATGAAATCAATGTTCCACTCATGTCAAAGGAATCCACTAATATATCTGGAAGCTCTATACGTGAACTTCAAAGTAGGTCTATAGTCCGATCATGCATCATTCATGCATACCCATGTGATTGACCGAGCATCACTACGCTCCTATAGCCCAAGAAATAGTGCTATCCAATCAATCTTACATGCAAGTCCATTTAAAGAGATCATTTATGTCCACTTTAATGACTCTAGACTAGGAACTGGAATAATGTATGGATTTTGTTCACCTGTGGGGTTTCATTCACCAGGTTATTTAAATAAACTAACCTGATGAGCCCATCAATCCATAATTATTTTGGACATTTTATTTAATTTTGAAACCATGATTAAATAAGATTGAAACTTTGTTTCAATTGATTAACATAATTCTGCAAATGAATGTATTACATATGTAACTTGTTTTTCTCCAAAAACAATTACAATTTCTAATTACATCATTTGCCTCAATCCAATTTCATTAGCATGTTTCTTATGCTTTGGAAATGGAAGGGGTTTAGTAAGTAGAGTTCATGAGACATTCTCATAAACATGAATTTTGAAATTTCTAAATTTTATAATAATATTCATCTCTATACACTAAGAATTCTCCTTCGTTATTTCACAAGGAACTTAGGAATTTCTAATTTGAATTCCAACGTTACATTGGATTTTGATTTGAAATCTATCATCACTTGTGTTTAAAACATGTGAATCAAGTAGATGAGTATAGTCCATGATATGCATGATGCATCCTTCGCAAACTGCATAAGGAGCATCACTCAAAGCATTAATTTCATCAACCTTTCTCAAAGCATTGAATATTTAATCAATGTGTCATGTTACATGGGATTGAAACTCTTTCAATATAATGTTGAACCTTATAAGAATCTTATCAATATAAGTTTCTTAACTAGCTCAAACATACTTCAAAACCTATCTTTATAGATCTTGAATCCAAACTGTACTCATCTTCCTCTTCAAGGTTTTCATACAAAATGCATTAACCATCACTTGACTGTTTAAGAAATGAATTATAACTCTTTATACTAGACCAAGAAGACTATATAGCTCCCACTATACATCTTGTACACACACGAACTTTTCTTCATTTTACGATAACATCAAACGATTTGATTAACTCACAAAATTAAGAACACTAACTCCATGATTCTATGCATCCCTTCGATCTTCAAACTTTTGATTGTATCATATACAAATATTTTTTTCATGAACAATTTCAAGAAAGCGGTTTGAAATCCATCTACCAAATCAGTAAAATATCTTAATAGATCTTTGTAACATGACTAATGTAAAGGTTTCATCGCAGTCATTGTCATACTATGAATTAGTTGAATCCTTTAATATGTATTTTCTTTGTTTAGAGAACACTTTTCTCTCTTGTCCATTTTGCTTATAATGGGTCCCACCCAATTAGGCAAATTATTCAAGTGTCATACACTTGCTTACAAACTTAGAATCTATTTCAGATTTTGTGGGTTTTAAACCACTTGGAGTTATAACTTGTTAAATCATCTTTATTACTTGCATAATCATCATGTTCCAAAATGAATGTTTTAGAACTCTTAATCAATATGAAATCATATTTCTTTGACTAAGTTTTACATATGCTAGTCATCATTGTGGGTTTTTATGCAACAATTGAAACTCATACAACAACTTTGTTTAGCTTCAATGAGAAACGACAATAGAGGATGTGCACTTGGAATGTACTACCTTAGACACATGGTTATTATTCCCATTACACTTAATGAGACCACGCGTTGTCATTTGTAACATGAGGTGAATCATGCTCATATTGTTGCTTTTATTCAAATACTTCTCGAATTTCTTCAAGATTTTCGAAAATCACTTTTCTTGAACTCTTTCAAGGTTCTCAAACTTTTCGAGATTCTTATACTCCCACTTGCCTTTTGAGGAGGCATGTTTAGCATAGGTTGAACCAATCATGGTTTGAACCACGTTTGTTTGTTGCTTTTCTCGAACTCTTTTGAGATTTATACTACTCCCACTTGACCTTTTGGAACAATTTCCATAAGGGCACCTACTTGAGCAACAAACCTTTTGTGCTAAGTATGATTTGTGTAGTAGTACCCCGTGCTCTGTATAGGAATTGATCATGCATTAAACGATTTAATACAACTTTTATTCC